TCAGCAATTGATTTTTTACCAGTGCTCATATTGCAATTTTTGCTGTTATCATTGCATGTTTTTTACCAGAGCTCATATTGCAACCTTTGTTGTTGTTATCACTTTTCTCTGGCACTCCTTTATTACTGGTTCCCATATTGTATTCATTTCTATGCTTGGTTGGCTCAGGATATTTTTGTGGTCTAGCATATGTGCTGATTCCTTAAGTTTATGAATTTTCCAATGTTGTTCCATTGTTCAGTTGTGAGTCAGGTTTTTTAATGGTTTGTCCACAAATGAATAGCTTAAAGATGGTGGATTAAAAGTTGGACTTTTGCCATATTATGCTCTATGAATTTCTGAAATGAGTAAACATTGGAACTGTGACAAAAAAAAACAAAAAACAAAACAACATTCAGAACGTTTATTTGCATCATGCTCTAGGTCTTCAGATGGTGAAAAAGTGGTTTGGCAGATTTTGTTAGGGTGATTTTTACCTAAACAATCAACCGTGCTCTGATCGAACTTTTGATGTTGATGAAGATACTCTACTTGCCATTGTGGAGAATAAACCAAAGATTTCACTGAAAGATATTGCTAAGAGTTTGAAAATCAGTATCTCAACTGCCATTCACCCTTTCAAGTGACTGGTGTTCATTTCCAAACTTGACATTTGGGTGTCACATTCACTGATTGAATAGAGCAAGCTTAATCATGTTTCTGTGGTGATTTATTTGCATCTAGAACATGAAAAGGACCCTTTTTTAACAGAAAAATAGATAAATTTATGGTAACACTTGATGCAAACAGAGCTGGAAAGAAGTGCATGTTCAGGATCATTGGCTTAAGTAGGCTTGCATGTAATGATGGTGATGCTGTCTGTCTGGGAGGATTTCAGTGAGATAATTCACTTGGAGCTTCTTCCAGATAGCAAAACAAAACTGTACAGAACTTGCAATCAACTCGCCAATCTCAATGCAGCTATTCAAGAAAAACGGCAGATTTTGGCAAGTTGAAAAGGTGTTATTTCCACCACAATTTCACATGCTTCAAAACAGAATTTGCAGAAGTTTAAAGAGTTAAAATAAGAAATCCTCCAGCACCTACAGTATTCTCCTAATTTGGCCCCCTTCAGATTTTCATTTGTTCTTTTCTCGACTGAACAATTTTAATGACAAAAAAATTGACTCTGTACTGTCATTTGAAAACTATCACACAACTTTCTTTCAACAAAAAGTCTCTATGAAAATGACATCAACAGGCTTATAGAATGATGAGACAGTTGTTAAAAACAATGGAAACTATGTACTTAATAAATGTTTTTTTGTATGTAAAATTTTGTCTATATTTCTGAGATGAGATATTTTTGTAATTATTTACATTGTTCAGACTGTTGTCCTCATCTTTGTTGCTATATTTGCCATGGTACACATTGGCCTTCTTCAGGCATTGGAATTTTGAACTTAACTCTTTATTACATCCAACAGGATAGATTGTTCTAGTTCCACGTGCCATGCCCCTTCCAGATGTGTCAGTATCAGTTTTCTCCCTTTAACTCAACTCTCCAAATTTTGTTCACCCCAGCTAAAACCAGTTATTGAACTCAGAATTCTTTGGGTCAAGACATTGATTTTAACCAATACATTTATCCACATCCTTCTTCCAATCACCTGAAAAAAGCCAAAACGTCATGAATATGGCAACAAGGATTAGGATAACAGTCCAAACAATGTAAATAATGTAACATTTTGTTTTTAATTTTCTAGTCGGGCCCAAAGTATGGTGACGATCTAATAGTAGAAAGGTTCTTATGATGTTTCATCAGTTGGAAAGGGGTTGTAGAGTAGAAAATTATTGTTTAAAAGGCTATGTAAACTCTTTTAAATGCTTGTCAAAACAGTAAAGAGAAGATAGGGCCATTACAGCCAATATATGGCAACATACTTCATTTTTGGTATGATCAGACTCTTGTAAAAATAGAGCATGACAGGTGGAGTCCAATACTTTCTGGAGTGGTATCTGGAGACAACCATTTTTCCACTGTCTGTATGCAAAGTAATATACATGAAAATATATTAAAACAAGTTGGGAGGAAGAGCTAGAAAAAATAACTCACTGTAAAGTGGTACCTCATGTAGATTAATTAAAGGGTTGACTTCAAATTTCCCTGAAGATTACCTTAGATTGATAAGTACCTGAGGAAGACCAGCTGAAATATAATAATAATAATATCAGTCTAAATAATGACAATAGTCAGAGTATAAATAATGTAAATAAGTCCTCATCCTAGAAGTTAAAACAGAAAGCATATAGCATTAACAAAATCAATTAGATAACAGCAATAAAGATGAGGAGAATAGTCTGCATGTAAATGATGTTAAGTCCTCCTCTCAAGAATAAAGATAGAAAATAAGGTGGTAAATCTTAGAAATATAACAAGGAAAATATATATCAGGTGATTATATACTTTTTTAAAATGTCCATTTTTTTTTTTTTTTTTTAAAAGCCACATTAAACTATGCTATATATATATATATATATATATATATGACCAATTTCTCCATTGAATCAGTTTTGTGTTCCAAAAACATTACATGACAAGGAACAGTGTTCTGTAAGTTGGACATTATTAAAGTTGTTCTTGTTAATACAACACTCTACTTCTCATTCTTTCTTCTGCCAGTCTTTACCTGTGTTTGAAAATTAGATTACTTTGTTCAATGCAATTTCGCTGGGAATTGTGTCATATATCATTTCACTTGCAGGTGCACTTTGTAATCACTTACATGACATTGGTATACACCAATATCATTTTAGTTTTTATAATTAAAACAGAGGCCAATACAAGAGATTTAGAATAAATGCCCCTGTGTTTTCATATTAACATATTTTTTAAGTGTCTCAGATTTAGTGGATGGAAATAGTAAAAGAAAGCATTAAGATTTGCTTTTTTTTTTTTTCAATTCTTGTAAAAGATTGATTCAGAAGATCATTAAGGAAAAAATCTCAAAAAAAACCCAAAAAACAAGTCAGTGTTTTATTTAGAAATCAGAATACAGTCAGGGTTACCAGATTGGACTACTTTTGAAAGACTAGTACAACTAAATTTTACTTCAAGTGATTTTTTTTTCCTGTTCTATTTTTAAGATGAGCAGAGCTACTAATATAAAAAAAATCAATTCACAATTTAGTAGCACTGGACTTCAAAATTTTGGCCAGTTCATTGTTTGTTGTCCACTACCTGGCAATTCTGCTTGAAGATCAAGATTTGATAAACTGATATTAAGTGGGGGTTCAGTTTCATTCTATAGCCATACTATAAATAGAACACCCACTTTTTGCCATACTTAATTCCATACATTTTTCTACTTAAGAAAATATAGTTGGAAATAGGATTGCCATGAAAAGCTCCTTCTGAAAGCCCAACACTAGTAGATTTTGGTTACTGTTATATACCATACCTATGAACACTAATGGGTAGGTCTCAATTCTCATAAATAATTTGAACACTATTGTAAGTGGGAGTAATATGCTGTCTAAGTAGTTCAACACTAGCAGTGGTTTACCTACTTCACATTGCTGGCGAGTATTGTATTTTGTTGATGTTATAAAGATTACCATTTCATTTCCAACCTCCATTTTGGTTATTCCTCATTTAGTAACCTTTTCTAGGTTAGTGCAGTTACTAATGACAAGAAAATCAATTCAAAATTTATTAGCTCGGTGTTTTCAGATTTTACCCAATTCATGACTTGATGACAATTAATCAGCCAATCCTGCTTATAGATCAATAAAGTTTGATGAACAAGCTGATATTAAGTGAGGGGTCAATTTTATTTCATAGTTGGCTAATAAATAGATCCCCACTTTATACCATACTAGATTCATATATTTTTCTACTTCAAAAAACATGCTTTGAAATGGGGCAGTCTACATTTGACAGCTCAGTCAAGTCCCCTATTTTTGACTTTCTGGGATTCTTTTTAAAAGAAGCTTTGTTATCATGGGTGACTAAAGAGAAAATCAATTTAAACTTTAGTTATACTGGGTTTTCATAGTTCTATTCATGAAAACACATAAGAAATATAATTTTGTAGTTCCTTTTTGAAATGAGTAATTGTAAATGTATTTTAATTATTGTGAACTTATTTAAATTGTTTGATTGACCGATTCATTTTTTTTTTTTTTTTTTATGATTTATCAACCTTTTAGACTGTGTTTTTTTTTTTTTTTTTTGAGATAATGATTTTTACTGATAAGTTCTACTTTTTAATCTATAGCTGGGGAGAAAAGAGGTTTGCAGAGGGATTTGCACATAAGTGAATATAACGAATCCAAGTTTTTTTATTGATGTTTTATGCCATGAAATGATCATTGTTGATAATTTATAAACAATTTCATTCTTCCCATACACATTTTACTAAACTATTTTATTTTTCCATCAATATCTGTCTTTCATTTTCAGAGATGATTTACTTGTGCATGTAAGTTTTTACGATTTTGAAATTTCAACAATTCTAAAACTCTTGTATCAGAGCCAAATACCATATTCATTTGTTCAGTTAAGTGCCGTATGTTATACTTGCTTAGGCAATTATGCCTCTTTCAGTTCATGACTTAGTAGTCAGAAGATTTTCTTGTAATAGGTATCTCTTTCTTTCTGTGATAAAATACCATATGAGTGAAATATAATATTGGATTTCATTTTTGAAATGAATAATTAACAATGCACTTTAATTATTGTGAACTTAATTATTTAGATTGTTGGATTTTTTTATTGGCTTATCAACCTTTTGCAAATTATTTGAAACAAGAAATATTTTTAGATTGTCATATGTTTTTTGGAAATAATAATAATTTACTGATACAATTCCTACTAGTTAAACCATAGCTGAGGGGAGAAAAGGTGGATACATAACTTTCCCAAGTGTATTTGCATGTAAGTGAGTATAACAGGCTTGACTGGAAGTCAAACCATACTTTTTGAATTCCCAAATTGTTATCCTTTATGCCACACAAATCCAAGTGGTCACCCATCTAAGTACTGACCAAATTCAATATTGCTTAACTTCAGTGATCATATGAGAACTGGTGTTTCAATGTGATATGGCAGTAAGTCCTAATTATTTTGAAATACTGTCTATACCAGCCAAGATGAAAACAAAATAATTAGATCATTAAAACTTGGTTAACAAGCAGGTAGTAAGTGGGGGTTCAGTCTTTTTCTACATACATGTTATAAACAGAACCCATACTTCCTACCATACTAGATTCACATTTTTCTACTTTGAAAACATGCTTTGAAGTTGACCAGGCTACATCTTAAAGCCAACACAAGAGAGTTATCTCCCTTTTTGACTTTCTGGGATTCTTTTTAAAATTAGCTGAGTTACTATGGGTGAAGTCAATTCAAAATTCAGTTGCACCACGTTTTCATTGTCCTATTCATGATTTGTCATCAAATATCTGGCAATCTTGCTTGTTGCTCATCAAAGATTGGATATTAATTAGTGGGGGGGTCAGTTTTATTTTACAACCATATAATAAATCCCCCATTGTTTTCCTGGTAACTTAGAAATCAACCGTTAATCTTTGATTCTATTTAAATTTGCCAGTACTCCTCTTGGATATCAAAATATTTCCAGAGGATCCTCATTTTTATATATCTTGAATTTTTTTAACACTTCAGATTGATGATTTGAAATAGGAATTCTAAGTTGAAGCATGATAATGATTTAAAAAATGATTTAGTCTTAATATCTATCTAGTCCAGTATACTTCCTGGACCTACCATATCTGTTAGATGCACCTATATGCAAATACCCTTGGAAAAGGTTTAATTCCATATCCTCCCTGCAGTCCTAGGTTAAATGATAGGACTTGAATCTGGAAAAAAAAATATGGTTATTCTAAAAAAAAAAAAACATTGTTAATGCAATATTCACTAACAAAAAAAAGAAGTATTTTTACAATCCAAAATCTGTTTTGACTTTAAATAACCCAAAAAGGGTTGATAAGCTGTAAAAAAAAAAATCAGTCTTTAGAATTTTTTACTAAGCCACTGAAATAAAGATGAATATTGAATGACCAAGATTTCTGTTTTGTTTACTTTGAAATGAAATATACAGTCATTCAGTTACAACAGTCTTTGCTAAAAGACGTTAAAATCTTTCGATTGGTTATCAGGCAATTTTACAAGGAAAGCTGAAAGTAACTGTAAAACATGCAAATTGGCAATCACATTTTGATTAACCAAAAATATCTTGGTTGATTTTTCTCCCATTTTCATGTTATTCTGAAGAATTGATTTGCAGATAATCAAATCTTCATTCTTATAAAAAAAATGGTTTATTTTAAATCCTGAGATATATATATATATATATATATATATATATATATTCCTTGAACAATATGAATGAAGAGATGACTGCAATAGCAGACATCTCTTCCAAGTCATAATGTTCTGAAGATGACAAGAGTAAATGTTGAAATCTTAAGAAAATCATTCCTACTTAATCAAATACTTTTCTACGAATCTGTTGAAAATCTATTTATCAATTTTACCAATCTAATCATGATCATGCTGAAGACACAGTTGTAAAGAAAGGATTCGCCATATTGGATATGATCAGCTTTAGAAACACAAATCTAAAAATATTTCTGATGAAGGCAGTAGAAGTATTTGAAACATATTAGAATGGCTTATCGATAGAAAACATTATTAATGTTATGCAATAAGAGAAAGTAATAAAACTAGGAAACTATTGCAGTAGAATTAGACTTATTTCATTTTCAATGTAATTTTTGACCTGATGGTTAATTTGGTAAGTCAATGGAATATGAAACAGTTTTAGAATTATAATGTTAATAAGGAACTCCTTAAAAAGCATTACCAATCAATGCTTTTCCAATAACATTTTCTAATGTTAAGGTTTACTGGTCTTGCCTTTATATTTTATATTTATCTTTACTCAAGTACATGAAATGTTGAATATACTGTTCTTGTTTCTTTTTTCATCTGATTGAGGCTTAGTCTCTAGCCAAGTATCTCCAAAAAGTGGAATTAATATATGTAAGGATTGTAGACACTCTGAATCTTTTCCAATATGTCACTGGTATTAGGTATATAGACCGTGGAAGATGTCATCCACTAAAGTGAGTTATGATATATGATTGAACAGACCTAATTGCTATTTTTAAGATTTTAATAGAAGATGAAACCATTAAGGAATAATTTAAATATTAACAAGGAGCCTGTTTAAGAGCATTACCCAATTAGCCGATGGCATTTTTTGCACTGATGATGTGGTGAAAAGGTATGAATCCAACTTTAGATATAATGGCTTACCTTATAGTTAACTTGGTTTGTCAATGGAAAATGAAACAGTTTTGGAATCTGTGTAGTTGGTATTACCTACCAACTACGCAACATGAATAATGCTTACTTGCTGTAAACAAGAAATCAGTAAGCAGAGTTCATTAAATTCACTGAGGAGACACATTTGTAGTGTTGAAACATAATTATCATTATGTAGTGATTTTTAACATGTTTTAATATCCTAAAATAAATATTATTTAGTTCTACTCTGTATTGATCCCTCTTTTAAATTAAATGTTACATACAGTGGAATTATACTTCATTTGTTCTCAATTTAGTTGGATATAATATGAGACAGATATCAGTTGATAACACAATACTCACACATGCACACAGTTAAAAGAACCTTAATATAATAGAGGCCATCTACATTTAAAACAAAGCAATACAAACTCAACAAAATTACATTTCAAACTAGCCACAACATATTAAAATGAATTTAAACATACACTTCTTTCTTTTTCTCATGTGGTCATGTATGATGTCAAAGAACTGCATTACAAATTTACAACCAGCATCTGCTATTCTGTAACTGTTATCATCGCATAGCAAACTTATATTTAAACAAAACTGTCTGTCATCTTTGATGGTGAACATCTCTGTTGCAATATCCATATAACCACTCTGATGATGGCTCATGCTGGCCGAAAACTTAGATCAACAACCAACATAAAGAAATGTCCAAATGTTGCACAGTTTTTATTTTCTCTTGAAACTAAAACCATTATACAATGCTTGAAAGGCTCATAAAACATAAATGTTCATTGTCTGTTATAATTAATGTGTGTGTATATATATATATATATATATATATATATATATATATATATATATATATATATATATATATAGTGTATCTGTATGTATTTAAAATGTATGCTTTCTCTCTCTCTCATGCTGACAATTTTGCATGTATACTTTTTATGGCAAGCTCAACAATGAAATCCTAGCAGCAGAAAATGAGTCACTAAGTTGATTTGAGGATGAATATAAGATAGGTGGTGCCAGAAGTTAATTTAGAGTCAAAATTGATATTTCTAGCCAAACTGCCAAAAGGTCTATCTTTTTATGCACACCACATAAATTGGAAGTGATCTATATGTCGGCATATTTGGAAAATTTTTATTTATAAAAAAAATCAAAACAAAAAAAAACAGAGGTGCAGGTGGATAAATAGTTAGCAGCCTGCCGAAATGGAATTGGCAAGATGTGTTCAAACTTTGCATTCCTGTCTTTGAGAAATAAATGCAGCAGTTGGCATCCAGAAAAAAAATTTCTACACACACACACACACATAAAATTTTCTCATAGAATATTTTAAAAATCAAAAGAAAAGAATTTATTTTTTTGATGATTGTTTGTTTTGTTTGATTTTGTAATTGCTTGTAGCAAAAATTTTGACAGAATCAGCATTTGTAGACAAAGGGATGATGATGATAATCATCATCATCTTTTTGAAATAGTTATTGATTCAAAGCAGAATGAACTGACCAATGCAATCATTTTAGCTATTTATACATCTGGATAAGGCTGGCTATTTTGGAAATAGATGTATGCAAACACACACACATGTGCAAGCTGGGTACCGAAATGTTTTTGGACTAACCTACTTCCCAAAATCTGACCAAACCTCGGATTTAAAATAAACAAATATTTACTTGGTCAAGCTGATAACTTTACAAACTCCCACATATATCATAAAATGGTGCATGCATGCATATATATATATATATATATATATATATATATATATATATATATATATATATATAATAAATTAATTGATTTAAAATATGTTTTTTTTTTCACTACACAGTTCTAGCCATGTTTCAAAAATGGAAGCTGAAAGCTCCTGAATTTAATTTTGTAATTAAATTAGATATTAGTTCCATTTCATCCTCAAGCAAATTTTGGAGTAACTTTTAAAATTACTGGGTTTTAAAGACACTGCAAAAATCATAATTCATGTTTCCAAGGATACAGAGAAATCCAAAATATATATATATATATATATATATATATATATATACACACACACATCCACACACTATAGCTCAAAAGTTTGAAGCGACCTCCAGAATTAGCATGGCATGAACTTGACAGAAGAGTGAAAAAAAATAAAGAAAAAGAGCTCCAAGAATCTTTGAATAAAGAATGAAATCAATTATCAAAGTTAAACTTTAAGAAATTTTTGCAATAAATGCCAAAAATTGGTGCTGCAGTAATCAATGCTAAAGGAGGATATTTTGATGAGAGCAAAATTTAATCACAAAATACTTTTATTTATTTTTTTTTGTCATAATAAAGTTTCTGATATAAGTTCATGTCTCACTTTATTTTAAACCATGTATAATAATTTTCTCTTATTTAAAGTACAAAACATCTACTTTTGGAGCCAATTTAAAGAAAAATTACCAGGGGTGGCCTCAAACTTTTGAACTGTAGTGTGTGTATATATATATATATATATATATATATATATATATATATATATATATATTTTTATATATATATTTTTTGTAGAAGATTTATAATTCTGAGTCAATAAATATAAATTCACTAACATTTATATATACCAAAATACTCACAAAAAAATGAGAAACAGCAAGATGTTTAATGAGTATTATTTATTACTTGGTTATTACATGGTGTTGGAGAAACAAGAGACAGTAATACTGAGTAAATAGTGAGTTGTGATCAAATGTAGATGAAATATGGATTGGAATCTCACAGA